CCAGACTACCCAGAGCTGAAAGAGAGAGGCACTTTCAGGATGGGACCAAAGGTGTTAGACATTCCCAGCCCTTTACAGACCACACACAGAGTATGGCAATGTCTGATCTGCTGGGTTTGGTTCCTCCCTTGCTTTCATCTGCAACGGCAATGCCTCTGTGGCACTGCAGAACTTGAGGCAGTATCAGATGATTTGTCTGCACCTTCCAGGCTTATACAAGTAGCCTTTGTTCCCTTACATGCAGTATAGAATCATTACTGCTGCAGAACTCACAAGTGGACTGCTTTCTTCCAAGGAGAACCAAGGTCATGAATATAACAAACAGTATTATTCTAGTCAAGGACTATTACCCTGCCCTTGAGAGGTTTTGGAACAACCACACTCCCAGCCTCCAGAACTGCACCTTGAGCATACCATCATTCTTTCACTTAATGGTATTGGAAGGCAACAGAAAAAACTTCCAGCTGAGGAGTTTCACTGAAAACTAGGACTTACTCTAGTCAGCTGCAGATTTGGAGCAAGACTACACCTCTAAGCAAGCTGAGCACTAATGAAAGTCAATTAAAAGCAGCCACAGAATACTGCACACCCATGACTCAAGCTCTGCAGTTGCCACATAACCTGTTACATTTCAGGTTTGAGCCCTGATGAACCAACTTCTTTCACCACACACACAGACAGAAGCTTTTGAGATCAGCAAAGGTCAACTTAACACAGCCCAACTTCCCTCTGACATGTGCTCTTGCTCTCAGCTACACACTGCAATGCTGAGGCAATGCTAACGCAATGAGCCTTTTCCAGGGAAGGCTCCACATTCACATCAAGTATCCCGGGAAGTGGCTTTTGCCAACTGCCTCCATTTTCAAACTGCAGAGAACAGCTCTCGTGCAAGGGACAGAAGTATTTCCCTGATGCACCCAGTTCTCACTTACCTTCAACGGAGAGCTTCTCAATAGCCCGCCTCTCTCCTCGACTACAGTGCGGGGGAAGACAGAATCCACGGATGCTTCTCCCAGTTCTGACACGGGAACTTAGCACGTAATTGGGATCCAAGTCATCACCTCCCTACAAGATTAGGAAACCAGTGAGTACAACCCTGTTACCAAGATACCTCCCCTAAATACACGTAGCTCCCATACACCTGAACGCACACCTTACACTCGAGGTATTGACTACTTGGTCTGTAAGATGGTGTCTTACTTCAGGACTATTTCCTTCAGCATTAGGTCAAGTATGTGTGACACAACCCTTGTTTAGAGGCCAAGGGTACAGCTACTAAGTTGTCCTAAAAGACAGGGATACCACCAGACCATCCGTTTTACGTCCATTTCAGACTACAGTCTGGGTTTCTGTTACCACTTCAGATCTGCAATCTAGAAGTATCAACGCGAGGTAAACCCTTCTTCAGGTAGGTGTTTACTCTTGCAAACAAAACTTATTCATTACTGCTCTCCAAAGTTTCTTATTTTCAGTACGACCTATGGCAAGGTCATCAACATGTCATCAGGAACTCCTAGAGTTTACACTAACATTTGAAATCAATAAACCAGGCAGAAATCCTTACACCTAGCCATAATGTATGTTCTATAGTATGACACCATCAGCTGATATTTCAGATACAAGATCAGATAGCAGGAAGTGTTTAATTTTTATGACAGTCCATGACTACTAGGACACAGTTGTTTAGGCTTGACTTCTACAGCCCACAGTTCATGGAAATACATAAAGAAGGTGTTTGGCACAACCTGTGCCGCAGCAGCACCTGAGGCAAGCTCCTGCTGCATGCCAACTGCCTGGTTCTACCAGCCACTGACATCCTACAGCAGCAAACTCTCCAGTCTGCCTTCATCAGACTCAGAGCCCATGTGTCTGTGCTCAGTGAAAGCAAAGGGACAGAGCCTGAACAATCATTTTAGGCACCTGCCAACAACACTTTACTGTCCTCAGACCAGTAATCAGTAATTGATCAGAAGTTTATACCTGCAGGTTATCAGCATTCAGGTCGGTCTTGTGCTGATCGCTTGGTTTGTAGCCACCATGCCTGTCTTCAATAACTGGATCAAAGAGCTCCTTAAACACTTCATAGGATTCTTCATCACCAGCCACACATCCTACTGTCATTATGAACGGATGGCCTGAAGTGGTAATAAAGTCAGAAGAGCTAAGTTTGGGTGATGTTTGGCTGTATTCCAGCACAGCACTAACCAGGCAAGTTCTTTAGTGGCAAGTCTAGTCACTTAGAAATTCATTCTTACATAAAAACATTTGGAAAGACCCTACATTTTGCACTTCATCCAGTTAATCAAATGCAGTGCTATGGAAACCCATAGCTGTTGTCATTAAACCATGCTCCTTTGTCAAGCTTGGTTTAGGACAAATTTGCACAGCACATCTAATTTTACTAGCTAATTTAGATCACTGGATAGATCTTTATGTCTAAACAATCATGCTTTGCTGTAAGCAAGCATGCTTCGCTTTTTTGCTCCTTCTGCTACAGAGCTACATTTCTGTAGTCTGCTCATAAATACCACCTCCACAAGATTAGTTTTAAGTCACCATAATCGAAAGCACCAGTTACTTCAGCTGGTTCACACGGAATATTCTCAACGCGTTTTACCAGGATTATCAACCCCAGTCTGAATGACATCATCCAGGGTGAAGCCACTGGGCGTGACTCTGTCTCTCAGTTTCGTGTATAAATCCAGGGTTAGAACTTTGGCCATGTGGTTGTTGTGGGTGCTCAGGTCCGGGTACTCCTCATCAGGAGGCAGTCTCTGATTATTTAGTTGGGCCATTTTGATATTGCTAGAGTAAAAATAAATACTGTAATGTTAACATGTAAACACATCTGCTCCCCCTTTTTCATAGAAGTGCTAGAGAACATCACGTAATCAGTTTGGAATAAGAATAGACCAGGACAGCCAGGTAAGCTGACATTTCCACCCCCCCTCCCTCTCTGGTTGCATTACAATTAGAATGCATTTGGTTTGAGGTTTAGTTTTGGTTTTGGTTTTTTTCCTTCAGATTTAAAGTATTTAGCAGAGTAGTTACATAATTGAAGTGTCTGGGAATTGATATGTCAGATCACAGCATGGAACATGGCTTGAAGGAGCACAGCCTCTTAATAAGGCCATGCCTTTAGAGCAGTCTCTCAGTGCTTTGCAAGATTTGCCCCTCAGAAGCTCATGAGTTTTGGGTGCCGTTGTTAAGAAGCACTTCCAGTCAGGAGGGAGAACAGATCATTATGCAGATCTAACGGTCCCATTACCTGGGTTGTCAACCCCAGTCTGGATGCAGTCATCCAGGGTAAATCCACTGGGGGTCTGTTTATCTCTCAATTTCTTGTACAGGTCCAGGGTCAGCACCTTGGCCATGTGATTGTTGTGTGCTTTCAGGTCAGGGTACTCCTCATCAGGTTTGAACTTCATCTTCAGGAGGTTGTGGCTGTTTGAGAAGGGCATGGCTGACCCTACCGCAGTCACTAGGGGAGAAAGAGGGGAAGCCTATCACAGGGGGCTTGGCAGCCTCCGAACCGCCCGGGGGAACGCCAGGCACCCAGGCAAGGTCACCTTGGCTCGTGTTCCACCCGCGCCTTTCACACCTTTGCTGCTACACCACTTTCCACAAGCGCGAGGAAGGAGGAAAGAACAGAAGTTCTTCACCTCCACCAACCTTACCCTGCCCTCACCATTCTGGCCGCAGGGGCAGGGGCTCTCCCGCCTCCCGGGGCACCGCCCGGGTGAGGGGACGCCCCCAAGGTCGGCCGGAGTGGCCGCGGCAGCGCTGGGCGGACCCCGCGGGAGGCTCCGGGGCGGGGGGAGCGGCCGGGCGGCCGCGGGGCAGAGGTGGGCTCGGCCCCGCTGGGACTCTGGTCCAGCGGCAGGTGAGCGGGGCGGCTCCGCTGCGCCCTCGGAGCGCGGCCGCGCCTCCTCCCAGCGCTGCCGGGCCAGGGGGTCCCGAGCAGCGGCAGCGCCCGCCGAGCAACGGCTGCAACCCGGCCGGGGAGCGGAGGGGCGGGCGGCGTCCGACAAGCCCTTACACAACAGACGGCTCCCTGGGGGGACCTGGACGGGGCGAGCATATGTAACTACCCTGCTAAATACCAGGTTAATCTGGTTTTAAAGCGGGGCCAGCCCGGTGAGCACCTGCGTCGCGCCCCGCGCCCCGGCTACGCCGCTGCCCCGCGCCGCCCCCCGCTCCCCTCCTCAGCCGGACCGGCTCCACCCCATACAGAGGGGAGGGAAGAAGAAAAAAAAAAAAAAAAAAAAAAAAAAAAAAAAAAAAAGGAGAAAAAAAAAGGGATTAAAAAAAAAAAAGAAAAAAAAAAAAGGAAAAAAAGGGAGAAAAATACAAAAAAAATGGAAATCCCTTGTCTGAAGGCTGCATAATGGCTCGGCTGCCCCGGTACTTACCGAGGGCTCCGCAGCTATAGCAAGGATGTCCGCGCTGCTCCGCGCCCCGTACCGCCCAAGCTGGAGTGGAGCCCCGGGACTGCCGTTGCGCCCTTTTTATATAGAGCGCTAACCGCCGCCCCATTGGCCGTTATTTATAGCCCATTCATTCCATTGGGCCGCGCGCCGGAGGGTGGGGCCGCCGCGCCGCCGCCGGCCGGTCCCGCGCCCGCCGCCATCTTGGTCGGCGTTGGGGAGGCCGCGCGGGGGCGGCGGGACCCCCCGGGGCCGCCCGCGCAGCCCTGAGGCGGCCGCGCCGCACCCGCTGAGCGCGGACGTGTGAGCAGAATCCCATCTCCCTGCGCCAGCGAGCACCAGCACGGCCCGCTGCCACCACTATGGGCTCTTCACACCTCGGTCGGGGATTCAGCCGCGGGTGTGATAACGTGCCATCCCAAAAATGAGGGTTATGTAATGTCAGCGCTGGCCGTAACTGTCAGTAACTGCCCCTGAGGCGGGTGCGGATGTGGCGCCCAGCCCCCGGCAGCCCGGCTCTGCCGAGGGAGGACCTGCACCTCGCCTCCAGCACCTGCAAAGCCGTGGGCTCGTTTTACAGCTTAATGTGAAAGGAAGTAGGGTGGTTGTGTAAAGCACGGCGGATGCTCTGCTTGTCATGTGCCAAAAAAGAAATCTGAAGCTTTTATTGGAGAGTGGGTGATTTCCTGCTAAAGATGGGCACAGGAACTCTGGGATCTGACCCATCTAAAGCTCACCTGAAATTCGCAAAAAGAGTGACTTCCACTGGTCTCTTTGTGAGCAGGTTTGTCCCAAAGCTAAGATGCAGCTGACAATCCTGTTTGCAGAAATAAATACATTAACAGTGTGAATGACTGTCTTGATCTGACTTTCACCTTTACATAATAGTATCTTTACCTTTCTCTGACGTGTGTTTCTCACAGCAGAACCCATGTTTATTATCCTCCTGTCCAAACAGAGTGTACTTATCCACGTGAATGCGGATCTGAGTCCCATAGCTGCCTTCCTTGACACAAGTTGTGAATGTCAGGACACATCACCTAAAACTCTTTCCCTACCACAATCCTTTCAGCACCACAACCAGTACCCTCACCCTAACAACAAGAAGTGAGTGCACTGTACAGAACTGCTTAGGATTTAAAAATAATAACGTACATAGAGAAGAAATCATTGCAAAATAAAAAGCCTAGACTGCCTGAAATAAAAATATACTGTGTTTGGCTGCCATCCAGATTTCTGAGTTATTCCAGGTCTGGTAGAGTGAGATGCTGAATATACAGATCTCCAGGAGAAGCCAAGGGCTCAGCATCTGTACAAGTCCGGTCCCTTATCTTCCGGATCAAAGAACAAATCCTCTCTCTAGGACTGCTCTGCACTTTTAACCTCACAGAATCTTCCCCTACGTATTACTAGTTTCACACAACGCTCACGCTTCAGAATAGTGTAAATTGCAAGCAATGCCATGGCTAAACAAGTATTCAATGAATGTAACTGTAAAATTGTACCCAGAGTCCTCAATAAATTAAAATATAAATATAATATTGCTGGATTACCTCAGCTGAAAACATAATTCTGATTGTGGATTTTTTTAATGTAGAACATGTACTTTTAAAATTTTATTTGAAATGGAAATAAACCTAAAACTATTTTCTTAAATTACACCATATTTTTATGGTGGTGTTCTTCATAAAAAGAAAAAAAAAAGCATATTAGGGTAGGTTCTGAAGGATCCTTTCATCTTATTCCATAATCTATTGCCACATGAACAAAGAAGCAATCAGCTGTTCTGTAATGTAATTGTTCAGTAGATTTGTGGAGTCAAGGTCACCAAGATCCAAAATCCACGGATCTATTTCTATTCATTGTATGTGCTCTTTCCCTCCCCGTCTTGCAGAACAGGGAACACCAGTCATTATAAGCAGATAGTAGGTCTCAGTGTGTCATACATTACAGCATTTCCAGCACAAACAGACACCTGTTTTTCACAGAACTTTGGTCTGAGAAGCAGAAATGGAAAGAGAGTCACGGGTGCAAAACCACTAAAATATGTTCAATTTATATGTTAAATAAACAGTGCACTCTGTACCCCTTTTCCCTCACCACTACTTGACAAATTTCTAGCGTGCAGTAAGTCAGAAGTGGCTGGGTTTTACTTAGACAGCATTTTAAGATTTGCTGAAAGCTGTGTGTAAATTGGATCCTACCTTTGTCACAGCATCCCATGCCAGCTTCCCTGGTGACTTAATTACAGATTCTGTGCTGTGTGTCAACAGCCTCTGATCACCTGCTCTATCTGCCTCACCTACTAGGAAACGCTTGCTTTGGATAAGCCTGTATGGCCTGTTAGACTGTGATAAAGGCACCAATACTCACTTTCCATGCTGGGATGGTATCTTTGCGAATACTGACTTATACATGTTGAGTTCTGCAGCTCAGGATGGGAAGGTGGGGTGATTACTCCAGAGATCTCTGCACTGAGCTTTAACAATGAAGAATTAAGGGAAGTTAATCATGGGCCATGCAGCTAACTTCCTAAGAGGCTTAATTATAAATGTTGTGCAGTGTACAATTGCATGAGGGGATGGGTGCTGGCTAGTGAATGTGTCTTCTGAAATTACTGAATGTAAGATGAAGCTGAAGATTTAGGGGATAAACATTTTCTTAAAAATGTAGAAGAATATTCCAAATTAGGAAACAGCAAGAGAGAGTAGTTTGCTATAGACAACTGAATTGTTTCCAGTTCCTAACTGACAACTCAACAGCACTTGAAAATTAAACATAACCCTCATGTAATAGTAAATTAAAGAAATTGGTTATAGTTGCATCTGCTTAACTTGTCAAGAGAAACTTCTCTTCCCATTTATATTTATCACTTAAAATATATTTGCCTAGATATTATACTTGGTATACTTTTTCTCACTTCTTAGGCAGTCTGTTGAAAATTACTGAGAGTTTCCAGTGAGCTGAGGGCCTGTGGAAATTAAGAGTTGCTAAGTGTCTCAATCTTGCATACAGTCAGGCCCACAGTGATCTGAACATCAGCTCGTCACGGGAAAGAAAGGACACAAGAACATAAACAATGACAAATATAACCAGTGACACTAAAAATGTCAGAAAATTTAACAAAGTGGGTGCAAATATAAAGGCACAGTAGAGCCATGATTGCCAGTCAGAAAAACAGCTGAGTAGGAGTTTGCAGTTTAAGAAACCTCTGAAACTGCATACATTATGTTTAGATTAGATGGAGGAGAGTTTCATAACTAACGAAGACTACTGCAATTATGCTATGGGTAGGTCAACACCATAACAAAAAATATGTTTTCACTGGAGGTAATGGGAAAAAAATCCCCTTTACTTGATGGAACCACACAAATTAAAAAGTCACGGCTCATCATCTAAACAGATCTCCGTTACTGTGGTCGTGATTGTGAAAGGATGACTTTCTCCATTATTGTGTATTACAGGTTACTGGTGAATGCAGCACAGTACAGAGTGTTATCTGATTTAGCCGGGAACACTACCTGCACGTCCAGGGTGATTCACATGCTCTCTGCTATGCCCATACCCCTCCTATGCCAGGTGGCCTGGGCTTGTTGTGAGCAGAAGATGAGGCAATACTCTCCTCCTTTGCTTCTCCTTGCCTCCTGATTACATCCCCCGTACCACCAGGGCACACAGGGCTCTCCACATCACTTCAATCCTAAACATGAGACACAAGTAGGAGTTAGTACCATGCTGTTAAGGGTTAGATAACGATTCTGCTGCTTCTGAGCCCACATTGTGGTTTCTCCTGCAGCCTTATGAAACCCCTGTGAAGAGCTCGGTTGGCCTTGAGCTGCCTTTCCCCGAGTAGGCTGCCCTGGGGGAGGGCAGGCGCAACTTTCTGGAAGCTCCATTCCCCAGGCACTGGAGGCTCGGCTCGGGTATGCTGATGGCGAAGGCAGAGCCATTCGCCGGGGAAGGGGCTTCAGCCCTCCTGGTGGTGGTCCTCGAGATTCCTCACGCATTTGGTGGGTGAGGAACGCGAGTTCCCACTGGGGCCACCAGTCCCCATCATGGCTTTTCACAGTGACCCACCGGGACCCCTCAAGTTTCACAGAGGGCAGCTGCCCGAGGCAGGAGCATCTCGGCCGGCTCATCGAGGGGTGCCGGGGGGGCTGCTGAGAGCAGTCAGTGAGTGTCTCCCCTCCTCAGGTTCCCAGCAAGGAGCGCTAAGAGGACAAGGCAGGGGAGGGCAGCGGGGCATCGGGCAGAGGGGGGACGGGCGCCTCGACGGGACTGTAGGCATGGCAGGTTGAGGGAGACAGGCGACTCAATGGGGCTGAGGGGGACAGGTGCCTCGATGGGACTGTGGGCTTGGCGGGTTGAGTGGGACGGGCGACTCAATGGGACTGTGGGCATGGCGAGTTGAGTGGGACGGGCGCCTCGACAGTGCTGAGGGACAGGGCGGCGAGAACAGTGTCTGACCGCACCGAGCACAGGCGGCAGCGACTCCCCGACTGCAGGCAGGGCTGGCGGGGGCGGAGGCGGCGGGAGCGTCAGCAGCCTGCGACCGGGGCGGAAGGAGGCGCTGGGCGGGCTCCGCGTGTGAGGAGAGCCAGGCCGGGCCGGGCCGGGCCTGGGGAGGTAACGCCTCGGGGAGCGGGCACAGCCGGCGGCTGCCGGGGGGACGGGGGCGCTGGGGCGAGGGCAGTCCCGCCCCCTGCGGAGCCGTCACGGGTTAACGCTGCTCTGCCGCGGGCTAATCCCGCCTCTGCCCCCTTCCCTGCCCCGTCCGTGCTTCTCACCCGTCTCCCGCAGCACATACCGCTTTAAATCCTTCGGGCCCGGAGCAGCCGTGAGGTTCCCTAGTCCGCTGGGACGGGCCGATGCGCTGCCGGGGAGCGGGAGGCGGCTGAGGGGGGCCCTGGCACCGGAGCCACCTCTCGGAGCGCGGGCAGGGAGCGATTCACCAGCCCAGGGGGGGCGAAGGGGTTGTGCCTGCCTCCTCCTCCTCCTCCTCCTCTTCCTTCTCTTCGGGACGTTCCCCTGCCCCCGTGCCAAGCTGCCAGGCTGCAGGACAGGGAAGAGCCAGCCTGCCAGGTTCTTGTGGCAGCTGGTTCAGGGGGAGGGAGAGGTGTACCCTGGGCTGTGGTTGAAGGGAGCACAGAGTTATGTCAGTGGTTTAGTTTGTGAGGCTGCGAGGCATCGCCTGGGTCGTTGGGGTTTAGGTCGCTGCAGCCACGGCAAGGCCACAGAAAAGTCCTGACCCCGTGGCAAGAGGCACCGCCTCACCTTCCCGCCGGTGCCATTCCCCCCTCACTGCCATTCCCCCCACTTGGCAGCACCGTGTGGCAACAGCGATGCTGCTCCAATCCCCCACGTGCTTCCCAGGGAAGAAATATAACAGTGCAGGAGCCTCTGGACTGGGAGGGAATGGAAAATATTTCAGGTGTTTGTAGCTCAACTCTGCTTCGTGCCATGGGGGGAGAGGAGGCAAAGAAACTTCCAAACCTCCTCACAGATGCCAATTTTACCCCAGGTGCATGAATATAATGTGCCAGGTAGAGGTCTGAGTCTGAGAGATGTGTCACTTGGGATGTCAATGTGCACTGACATGGACTGGACTTTCTGGACTTAGTGGTTTTGAAGGTGTCTTCCAACCTTGATGATTCTGTGATTCACTGCTGTGACAATTAGCTGTGGTAAGTGTAGCGGCTCAAAGGAAGGTAAAGAATCTAGGAGCCAGTTTGGGTGATCGAAGGGAGATTTCTCTGTGTCCCTGCAGACATGCTGCAGGAATGTTGCTTTTGCACATGGGTGTAACTGAAGTAAATACTGTGAAAGAAATGGACTACACTGGAGATCCTTTTCAAATGGCACTGTTCTGAGAGCTGAAAACTGCACTGCATGAATAGTATCTAGAATGAGAACTACAGGTATCATTTATGAACGATTAAGACATGAATGTAATCAGAAGGTGCAAACTATAAAACACAGTGTTTGTGCTATCTCACAACATCCTGTGTGTATACATTTCTGAATTCATTCTTACTGTTTCACCATATGTCCAGACAGGCCTGTTCTGCTTTGGCATCTGAACACCTTACACAATAATTGTATCATGAGCTTTGGAAGTTTTGCCCACAAGCACATCCGTTTATCAGCGTCAGTGACTGAAGTTACAAATGTAGCTGCTTAACAGCAAATTGAGCTACATGGAGTTCTGGTCAACAAAGCCAGTTCTACTGTTCTAGAACTGAAAGTTTTTAATTAAAACTATGAAGCAGGATCAAAGTGGTACACATTCAATACAAAAGTGCTGGAATCGAATTATTATTCTGAAACTAAAAGTTATGCTGCTTTTGATTATGTTATGGAAGAAGTAGAGGAATTTAACTTTCAAAGCCTTCTGTCAAAGGCTTTAATTTCTTACTTTGGGATCACCATTACTTCCTTAAAAAATTCATTCCACAAACTGGTCAACCTACAGCTTAGATACTTAGCTGCCTTATCTGAAAGGCAATGCCAGGTTTCACTGTAAGCTGCCTTCTGATTTCTAGGTTGTCTACTCAAAGGCAGCAAAAATTAATTGTAATTCTCTAAACAGCTCTGAGACCATGGGGCTGAAGTGATAAAACTGTTTGCATTAGCTTGCAAATGTTTTACATTTAGCTGCAGCCCAGATCGCTTCCCAGACAATGACTTGGCACCCTCAATGGCAAATTAAAGGCCACAATATTCTTTTTTTCCAGGTAGTTAGTCGAATTTATGCATAAATTAATGCAGATACTGTGTTTATCCAATCTCTAAACCTCCAGTTGGAGAACTTTAAAGTAAACTTTGGTTAGTGGTGTTAATAACTAGTGATTTATGTCTAGGCAATAGCAGTATGTCTTTATGTTTTAAAATTGCCAAGAAATAAGCAAGAAAATGGGAATAAAAGCTAATACTTAACATACTCTGAGTGCTCATGAACTGGAACTGGATAAGGTGCTGAAATTGGTACTAGTTGCACTAATTGTACAAGTTTCACAGTAGCATTTTGGAGCAGGCTGAGAAATTATTTCTCGATTTTTCTTAAAAATGTACCATAAACCAGGAAAAATACTGGTTATATTCAAGTCTGTGGGATTTTCCATTGATTTTAATTGGATCAAGAGTGCAGCAGGGGGGCAGGTCTCTCAACCTCCTGGAGTTCTCTTGCTAACATCTTATTTGCACAGTGTGGTTTTGTTCTGTATTGGGGAAAATAAAATTACTTGGGTTTATGTCTGTACTTTCAGATCCTGCGAGACTCTCCTGACCTGTTTATTCTTTTCTAGGTGACAGTCATCAGCCAACAACTGTCACAATGAGTTTTATTGAATATGGAGACACCATAAAGGATGGTGACACAGCTATTGTGTTCTTGGGCCACGAATCCATGTTTCCTGTGAAAGTCCAGCATGGCACTGTAACACAGACTAAGTACGGGGTCATCAGGCACTCCACGGACCTCATAGGCAAGAAATACGGCTCCAAAGTGACCTGCAGTAAGGGAGGATGGGTGTTCATTCTTCATCCAACTCCAGAACTGTGGACCATGAATCTCCCTCACAGGACACAGATTCTGTATTCCACTGACATCTCTATAATCACCATGATGTTAGAACTGAAGCCAGGCTCCATAGTATGTGAATCAGGTAATAATTACTATGTTGAAATGCTTTATTAAGAACTAACACCAACAGTTTCATGAAAAAAACAGTCTTTTCTTTCTGTTTTGCTAAAATCGCGCTTTTTCCCGCTGTGGTACAATTTTCCCAGCCTACACGTTGAATAATTCTGTTTCATGTGCACGTGTTGCCAGCTGCTGTTTCTTCAACAAGTGATGCCACCTCAGTAAGCTGGCATCCTGTATGGGTTTACCTCTGAGCACGTGTTTGAGTAATTCATCTGTTTAGAACAAATATGGACACGTTTTCATTTCCCTTTTCTAAAACTGCTGTTCAGTACTTTAAAATGTTTTTAAATGCATGATTTGAATCAAATTTCGATCTTTGAATTTGCAGTTTCAGAGAATGTAGTTGAGATAACCTTGTGGAAGAGATTCTGATGACAGGGTGTTGAACTAATAAAGGAAATAAATTGGCAGTGTTTATATGAAGGGATACCATGTAAGTACATATATTTAGTTTTTCTCTTCCCAAGTGTGATCCACTTGTACCACCGCAGCTATGTGCAAAATCACTGATATGATACAAAGGATGATGTGTTCTTCACAAGGATTTGTTTTGTTTCAAAACTCGGTTTAATTTATTACAGCTTTTGTGATTTTGCCTAATTTGGAAGTAAGGAGTGAAATTTTACATAAGTAGATATTTTCCTGGTTACATAGAGTTTCTAATAATGTCTTCATAACTTTATTACTTCAGGCAGTATAAAGCTATAAAGCTTGCTTGATTTGAGTGCATTTCGGTAGTTTGAAAAAATATGAAATGAGGTAGTTTGTCCTTTTTTTTTTTTTTTTTTTTGTTTCCTTTGAGTGTTTTTATGAAGCGGTTTCATACACTTCCCTTTGAAGCATAGATATGGCAAAGGATCAGCATGGCAGGACTGTGATGCACTGTACTTTCTTTGCATTTAATGTTTCCTGTTCCCAGTCAAGCATAATTTTGGGCAGCTTTTCAGACATAATGACCACTTATCTGTGCATCCAGTTGCACCCATTAAGAACCAGTATATTGAGCTGGTTGCTGTACGGCAGCACTTGAAACAGGCAAAGCCGTGTGCAGAAGCCTCTGATACTGTGAAAATAGTTGGGTCCTTTGAGTTTGTAATTTGGTTTGCAGAACAATCAGGCATTTTTAGGTTTGTCATGGCGACTAGCTTCGTCAGGGAGCTCTTCACCTCTTTCCCTCCTTGCTATGTTTAGACAGGATGGGAAAAAAGCCACCACAAATTAGTTGGGGGAGGGAGAGATTTGAATTGTTCCATGTCCTGCTCCCTTGGAATAGTCAAATGTACAGAGCAGTACTTAAAATGTTTTCAGTAATTTTGAAGATGCCTAGAGAGAATGAAAATGTTTTGTCACTTGTTTATCTAAAGAGCTAAGAAATGGAAACACTTGATGATTTCCAAAACTGTTACAAGTCAGAAATCATAGCCACAAACAATGCTTTTTGCCAATGGGAAGCTGCCCCCAGGTTTATTTTAATGCCTGTTCTATCAATATATTGCAATGTCAGCTTTCCGGGAAAAGTGAACAGTTTTACTGCTGAAGTTGTGTTGGTGTTGCTTGAAAGGCTCACTGTTCACAAAGAAAGGAAGTACTGCATGAAATCTGTCTGGTTAACCTTGAAGCAAGAGATCTTGCTGCAGATTTGCTCTGAATTACGAATTTTACAGGCATTGACAACCGAAGCCTCCAGTGTGGTGATGTAGTCTACTTTGGTGCCATCCTAAATTAGATGGTATTCAGTGATCCAAAATCATTAGTTCTCAGTTAACCTCATGTGTACTACACAGAAGCAGCCCAGTGGCCATGAGTAGAAACAAGACAGGAAGTCTGGTCTAGCAATGACACTTGAGTCTGCTTCCTGCTGCTGCTGGTTTTGAGCATTAATTAGCATGGGGGTATGTCTTTTTTATTATTTGGAGTTGAACTTAAACACAGAGTTGCTGTACGTTCTGGCAAAGCAGGCTCTGTAAAGAGGCCGGGCTCCTTTCCTCTTGTCTTACTGATTGGACTGTGGAATTGTGCCCTGCATTTACACAGTGCAGGCAAAGCAGAACTGTGGATTAGTCTCCACAACTGTGTGAAGAAAGGGTCGAAAAAGTAAGATGAAATACCCTCTGTGTCGTGTTGTAATGCTGTGAATACGAGTATAAATGATCTTTTTTATGTGATTATAAAAATGGAGTACAATAACCAGAAGGCTTAATTTTATATCACTT